GAGGGCAGCGTCTCCAGGGAGAGGGCAGCATGTCCAGGGAGGGGGCAGCATGTCCAGGGAGAGGGCAGCATGCCCAGGGAGGGGGCAGCGTTTCCAAGGAGAGGGGAGCATGTCCAGGGAGGGGGCAGCATGTCCAGGGAGGGGGCAGCGTTTCCAGGGAGAGGGGAGCATCTCCAGGGAGGGGGCAGCGTTTCCAGGGAGGGGCACCTGTGCCAGTCTCCCCTTGGCACCTGTCTAGCCATGACGGGGCCTTTGTGTGAGGGAAGAGGCGGCCTGAGGGGATGAAAGGAAAACAGTGTATCTGGGTCATTGCACTTGTAAAGAGAAAGCTCCTGGGGTGTAAGGATGACTCTCTTGTGTGGCTTCTTTTTCCTCCTCTGTCTTGAGTAAGAAAAGACACTGTAGGTTTAAACTGCTGCAAGGAACGTTATGGTTAGGTACTAGGGTAAAAAGTTCTGGTAATAGGATGACCAGATTGAACTGCATTAGAAAAACAAGTAATTTTTGTTGCTGGAGGCCAATAAGAACAGATGAGACTGTTCTTAGACAGAGCAGCTATCACTGCATTGCTATTGCTGTTCACTGGCATAGACTTGTCTTAAAGGCAAACAGGGCTGGAGAGCTGGGCGGGGAGAAACTTGATGAAATTAACAAGGACAAGTGTAGAGTGTTGCATCTGGGGAAGAACAACCCCATGTCCCAGTATAGGGTGGAGGATGACCTGCTGGAGAGCAGTGTAGGAGAAAGGGACCTGGGGGTCTTAGTGGACAGGAGGATGACCATGAGCCAGCAATGTGCCCTTGTGGCCAAGAAGGCCAGTGGCATCCTGGGGTGCCCTAGGAGATGACCTAGTTAGTAGGTCAAGGGAGGTTCTCCTCCCCCTCTATTCTGCCTTGGTGAGGCTGCATCTGGAGTATTGTGTCCAGTTCTGGGCCCCTCAGTTCAAGAAGGACAGGGAACTGCTTGAGAGAGTCCAGCGCAGAGCTACAAAGATGATTAAGGGAGTGGAATATCTCCCTTATGAGGAAAGGCTGAGAGAGCTGGGTCTCTTTAGCTTGGAGAAAAGGAGACTGAGGGGTGACCTCATCAATGTTTACAAATATGTAAAGGGTGAGTGTCAGGACGATGGAGCCAAGCTCTTTTCAATGATGTCCAGTGATAAGACAAGGGGCAATGGATGCAAACTGGAGCATAGGAGGTTCCATGTGAATATCGGGAAGAACTTCTTTCCTGTGAGAGTGACAGAGCCCTGGGACAGGCTGCCCAGAGAGGCTGTGGAGTCTCCTTTGCTGGAGACATTCAGAACCTGCCTGGACATTTTCCTGTGTGATGTGCTCTGGGTGATCCTGCTCTGGCAGGGGGGTTGGACTAGATGATCTTTCAAGGTCCCTTCTAATCCCTAAGATTCTGCGGATATTTTATTTTATTTTTTATAAATATGCAAGGCTTCGGGTTAGCAAATGTACAAACATTTGGGCTCATTTAGCACAGGGTATTTCTGTTGTTTTGCTCGTTAGTGTGTGGTTTGTACTGTGTGGGTTATAATTGGATTGGGATTTTGGTTTTATTTTCTTCTGTTCTGTTTGGTTTACAGATAATGAAACGCCACCGTGTACCTTCCAATAAAGAGGGGGAGACCACTGGTGGGGGACCAGCAAGAAAGACATTTAAATCACAAAATCAGCCAGGAACTTCCAGCAAAAAAAAGAGAACAGATAAAGAAGGAAGAAAACAAGGTCAAAAACCAAAGGTAATAATTATTTTAGATCAAACAAATTAGAAAAGTAACCAAAGGAGGGAAAAAAAGAACAGGCATTTTTTCCCATTTTTTTCTGGAATATAGAGAGAATATTTTATTAACTAAGCATAGTCCTCTGGAGGAAATGTCCAGTGTGAACAGCTCTTTTGAGACCTCTTATGAATGGCATGATCTCCTGTTTGGCTATCCAGCCACATCTTGTGCATTTCTTATTTCATGACCTCATTGTTGGAACTAAGAAGAGTGAATTGCTTTCCTTAACCTGCTTGAGATGAATTACTGTTTCACAGTCTAAAAGGCTTTTTTTCATGGTCAGCATCTGTAGACCTCCATCAAACACTGAAGTGCTTTCACAGCCTTTTTGTAGTAGGCTGCTAGTAGCAGATAAATGGCTGCACAGCAGAGAATGTTTCAAAGTTACCACATTTGCTGGAATTTTTTCTTTTCAGCAGGTCAATCAGACAGTCAAAAGGAAGGCTAAGGAACATGGAGACCATTCCCCTGTAGGTAGGATGATAGTATTTTCTTGTGTTTGTCTCGTGAAAATTCTGTGTTTTGAAAAAACACTGAAAGTAAAAGTGGTAAGTGTTTCACACCTGTATATGTTCCCACTCTTTTCTTTTTTTATTTCTTTGTGGGTTTTCTCACTTGCTTTTCCAATGATTTTGTGAAAGCATCTGTTTAGAATGAAACTGCTGTAATATAAACTGCTTTTCTATTTTTTACTTTTTCAAAAACTTGTGACTTGCAAATAATAAGTACCCTCTCATGTGGATAGATTTGACATGATAGTTTTCTGACATGGAAAAATCTTAATTGTTATGTCTTTGACTATAATATTACTGAACTGAATCACAAAGCTGTTATCCAGTCTTGGTAAATAATACATTTTTCTTTTTTTCCTTTGTTAACAGAAGAAAAAGGTTCTTCAAAAAAGGTGAGGCTAACCAGTGCTAAAATAGGATCCTGGCAGATTCTCTCAGAGAGCAGCAGGCAGTTTCTGGAAACCATAATGGATTCAGTAATACTGTAAGTATAAGTGCTGAATAGCCTGATGATTCTTCTCTGTTCCCACAAGGAATAATGTAAAAATCATAACGTTGCTTGGACTTGAAGTTTTGGAGCTCTTTTGGGCATTGTGACTGGTTGTGTATATTTTGTCTGGTATAACATTTTCTATCTGAAGATGGAGATTTTCAGTTAGAGCAGTTCTGACTGTGTTGACTTCACTTAATGTGTTCTCTGTGCTAGCAGGCTTTGTGATGAAAATTTTGCCTTTTATTTTCTTTTTAGATCTGTTCTGTGCCAACAAAGTGAAAGAAAACATGATGTTCAGAAGCACCTCAACTTACTGAAAAAAACGTAAGGAACTGTAGTTTTGAAAAAGAAAATAAAAGAGATAGGAAAAGAAGTCATCTAGTTTACCCAGTTGTTTTGTACCATTCTTATAGAATTGCTTCTGGGAGCAGTCACCTTTAGGAAATCTTGAAAGGGAAAATTGTTGCAAAATCGAGGGAAATAACTTGATGGCATATCAAGTGAAGTGGACAAGCAAGAGTTGTTGAAAAATCGACTTTAACTACTTCTGTATGTGTAATAGAACCTAGGAGGTATTTTTAAGAGTTTCTTGAATCAGCTTTGTACTCTTTATTCAGGGTTTAAATTCGTGGAGGGCTATTTATTTTGTTATTTTATGGCAGTGGCAGGAGCAGTTATAGTTAATTTGGGGGGGAAAATATTAGTTAATGACATAATCAAGGAGCGTGCAGGCCAATGGGATAGAAACCATGCAACATTGGTGTAATAGCAAATGCTAGAATGGGGGGTTTTCCTAGTCCAAGGAAGAAACCAGAAAATCTATACTACATGATTTTTGGAAAACCATTTAAGACAGCTTTTCTTTATTGAGGTGCTGGAGCAGGTCCAGAGGAGAACAGGGAGGCTGGTGAAGGGACTAGAGGGAAAGTCCTTATGACGAGAGGCTGAGGAAGCTGGGGTTGTTTAGCCTGGAGAAGAGGAGACTCAAGAGGACCTTGTCACCTCTACAACTACCTGAAGGGAGGCTGTAGTCAGGTGGGGGTTGGGCTCCTCTCCCTGGCAACCAGTGACAGGATGAGAGGGCCTGGCCTCGGGCTGCACCAGGAGTGGTTTAGGTTGGATATCAGGAAGTGCTTCCTTATGGAAAAGGTGATCAGATATTTGAATGGACTGTCCAGGGAAGTGGTCAAGTCACCGTCCCTGGAGGTGTTTAAGCAAAGGCTGGATGTGGCACTTAGTGCCTTGGTCTAGCTGATGTGGTGGTGTTAGGTCATAAATCGAACCTGATGATATCAGAGGTCTTTCCTAGCCTCAGTAATTCTGTGTTTCTTCCCATCTGGATCCTTTTACTTCACTGGCAGCAACTGGGCTAAATTAAGTTCAGTTTTTCCCCAGAGAAGTTATGAGTCAAGTTTTATTTTTGTTGTGCAAAGAACTCCAAACAAGGCATGCTTTCCTTTTTCTCTAATAAAGGGTGCTGAAAGTTTTCAAGACATTAAAAGTGCCTCCAGGGAAGCTGAGCAACCTGAAGAATGTCTCAGGCCTTCACTTGGCAGAGAAACAAATGCTTGAGACAAATGAAGAGTCTTTGGTACAATTGCAGGTAGGAAAGGCAAGGAAGGGAGGAAAATATCTTGCCCATCTGCAGCTGCTCTGTGTTTTATAACTTTTTAGTATCCAGACTGCTGGCTATGCCTGTGCTGTTGAGGAGGAGTTGACCACTATTCATCATTGTCACCCACCTCCACTACGAAGGAGCACATTTTTTGGATCAGTGACTCAGCTGATGCTGATTGTCACCATCCTGTATGCAAGACTCCCCATCTCTAAAGGAAATTTTGTTCTGTTGTTCTGTGTCTGTTTTGTCTTAGGATGAAATAAAGGACACTGAGCGATCAGCAGAACGCATTGAAGAAACTGTACAGCAGCTGCAGTGCAAAATCCAGGTGCTCAAGAAGGAGTTAGAGGAAAATGAAAAAGAGGCCAGGAAGGTATTTCCAATAGATGTTGGTGGATTTCTCTAAGGAGAAGGCTTTTCCAGAGCTAATCCATACAAGGTGTTTCTGCACGGAGTGTCATATGAGGAAGGCCTTGTCTCTCTTTGGGAATGTAACTTCCATCTTTCCAACTTCCAACAAAATTAAGAAGTTTAGTTTTCAGAAGTTGGATGGTGACTGCCAGTTTATTTTCCTACTAGTGTGCCTGATGTTTTATTTTGGTTTTTGGTTTTGTTTGGTGTGGGTTTTTTCTCTTTTCCTCCTAGGTGTTCCAGGAGAATGCCAGTGGAGCACTCTGCCTTCCAGAACTCCCCAAGAGAAGTTTACAAGCACCCACTTTCCAGGTGAGCATGGAATACATTTTTAGACACACCTTGGCTATGAGAAAAAAGGCAACAGAATGTGCTTTTGTCACTTCACCTCTGCCAGAGGAGAAAATTCTGAAATACCTGAAAGTTTTATCTTTTTACTTTCTTTTCGTGGAGAACTTAAATGCGTAGATTTTAAAAACTGAACAAAACCCTAGAAACCTTGCTATTTAAATGATCACGTGTCTTTTCCTAGGAACCCTATGGTCTTAGGAAACCTGGAATAATTTCTTAAGTACATCTCTAACTTATGGAAGGAAGACTGTCTCTCATTCTGTCTTTGAATCCTTTTTGATTTAGCTGTATTTAGGTACAGCTAGGCTGCAGGAAGGTGAAATTTCTGTTGGACTCAATGAAAGCTGTTTGATTTGGGTTTTTTTGTTGACTGTGTCTTTCCTTCTTTAGGAAGAAATTTTGAAGATAAAAAATCAGAAAGACCTTTTAAAAGATCTGGAAACTATCCAGCAGTCAGCTCACTTGAAGAACATGTTAAGCCTCATTGAAAAGACCTATGAGAAGGTGGACTTCCTTTGAGAAACCAAATATACAAGAATTTCCTTTGAGGAAGATAACCTGTGCCAGCATTCTGTGCTAATGTAGAGCAGAAGGATGCTGATCATGGAAACAGTGTTTCCTTCCTAATGGCTTTTCTGTTATGATTGCTGAATTTCTGTTAAAACATTTTCTATGAATATTGGTATATAAATTTGTAGATACATTCTGGGACTCTGGGATTTTAATTACCAATCAAGGTTGGCACAACTGTCAAAGCCAGATTATCAATGATATAAAATACAACCAGGGCTTTACTTGTGTTTTAGTCAGTATTTCTTAGCTTTCCATGCTATAGCATGTCTGTTTTTACAAATGGACATGTTCTTTGTATTTTCTGTCTATTTCTTCTGGTACTGATAACAAGGGTGTCCTTAGTCCTATACAAAATTGGCTCTGTTGCTGTGAAGGTTTAATGCAGACAGCCTATGCCCAGAAGGTGTTTTATACAAAGCAAGAAGTGCATTCTATACAGATTCAAGTGAAAAAATAAATTGATTAATACCCAAGAGACTGTTTCCTCTTCCAAGGTTTGCCTGTGCTCTAAGCTACTGGCTTGAGTTATGTCAACACTGTCACTCAGATCTGCTTTGATTCATACAATGTGGGCTAGAAGCAGAGCAGTGGCATATTGCTGGCCAAACAGCTGCCAGGGAGCCTCTGAACAGCAGCTGTCAAGCTGCTAAAAATTCAAATAATACAAGTTGTGGCTCCATGTAGTTTCAAAGCTTCATATAGTTCCAACCTGACTAGCTTGCTGATTTTCTTCCTTGCATCCTTTAGCATCACTAACATGATCTCATGAGTCAACTAACAACCTCCCAGGTGAGTTGAGAAAGGTATTTCATGCACATAGACTTTTGGAAGGGCCAGAGAGTTACAGACCTGGATGTCTGGGGGTCTGTGAAGTGGTGATGCTCAACATATTTGTGGGCTAATTCCAGGTTAACTTGAGTTGCAGCATATACCTGACTGGATGATATTAATGGAAGTTACCTCCTATTGCAAAGTGTGTGCCTGGAGCATAGCAGGAAGCACTTGTCCTTTATGAGAAAAAAAAGATTTTGAATCGTCACCAGATCCTGGACTAAAATGTTAAAATATTCTGAAAGGAGGACAAAAAAGTGGATAGAAACATTTAATGTCATTAACATGCAAATATTCCATTAGTATTTTAGATTTATGAGTTTCATACTGCATTAAATGTAAGAATATCACTTTTATGTGTGCTGGTATTTGCAAGACAGTAGGTGTATATGAGTCACTCATATGGGGCTTGCAGATTTTGTTTCAGAGAACCAAGATGTGATTCTACTTCATCAATTTTTTAAAAACTGAATGTATTTTTTGTTCAAGGCAGTGACAGAAGAGAAATTTTGCAAGACCATAGAAAAGTGAGAACTGCAGGAAACAATAATGCCTTGTTAGTGTGTGAGCATGTACATAGACTTATACAGTCCTGATTCAAAGGCCATTCTGGGTTTAAGACAGCCCAGGATTTAAAAATAACCAAATGTAGCAAGATTATAATCCTTGTCTTCCTCAAGTCCAGGTAAATTCTGTCATTGTTCTTCAATAAGGCCAAATGCCTACTAGATTCTCATTCAGTCTGATTATACCATCTTTAAAGAAGCTGCAAAAGAGTTCTTATATTTATTGAGAGGGATTCCAAGTAAATATATCAAGCGGTTAAAGACAAATAATAACTGATAAACAGGGATACCTCAGCAAAGAGCCTGTGGTTGTCATGTAATGTAGGATCCCATCAAAGGAAGAAAAATTCCTGTGAAAGGAAGAATTTTAGGCTGCCTAGGCAAATAAATGACCTGGAAGAAAGAGCAGGGTCATTTCAGACAAGACTCAACTTTTCTGTTGAAAACCCTCAATATAGCCAGTGTGAGGAACTCACTGGAGAACTAATATGAGCTTTGCTGCTTCTATTTTCTTGCCTTTCAGAAAGGTGTTGATAAGCAGAACTTGAAAAGCTTATGGAAGTGGATTTATCATCTCCATCTACTAGAAATATTCTCAGTTAATGTAAGAGCATGAGGAGATGACTATCTGTCATGTGAAGAGAGGATGGCTTTTCCTTCTAGGCTTTTGAATGCCCTTGCAGTGGATTCTCACAGGGGCATACATGATCTTGTGCCTCTCCATAACCCCTTATTTTATGGTCATGCTTTGTAAATGAGTCCCAAAGTGAGATGAAATCTTCATAACTGGGATGTTCCCTTTGAGTTGTTGAAAATATTTTGGAGACAGATGAGAAATTACATAATGGTGTGCTAAAAGGTAATCTGCAGTAGAGAGGATTGAATTAGGTAGTGTTTGAAGTTTTCCTCCCATTCCACTTTTAGGTGGAGTTTGGTGTAATACATGTCATTCTGCACCTGGATGGAAGTTTAGACAGTGAGCACCACCACACATGCTCATTGCATGGTGGAACAGTAGGAAGAAAAATGTTTCCACTAGCAGCATCTAGGAGGAGCAACATCTTTCAATCTGTGGTGAGTAGGTTTCCAATGATGTGCAAAGCCTTTGGTTTGGTGGAAATTCTCTCCAATGTCTGTTACAGAAACCTTCTATTTTTCATAGTCAATAGCAGAGTCAGGAAAGGAATAACTATGTAAGGAAAGAGGTGACCATCATCATGCTTGGTGAGGGAATGGTCACCTATGCACCCCAAAGTGATCTCTCAGTGAACAGCAACATTCTTTGGCTGATGAGCTCTGATGTGTCTGAGTGGCACCATGAGGATGCTGGACACCAACCAAGAATACCACTTGACTCCCATACTCTGACAGGAAGAGAGCAGATGTGGAGGCTTGAAGCTGTATCAGCCTAGGGCTATTTTGGCTTTCAGTCAATTTTAACTTCCTTTTACTATTGCCAGGAGGTGAGAGCCAGCTCTGCCAGCTGGAATTTGCAGCCAGTGTTTATGTAATGTTTAATTGCAAGTCAGAAGGTTCATTACAAAAGCAACAGCTCTTTGGCCATGGTTGCATGATATATTTGCTGAGGTTGTCCAGTTATGGAATATTCAGGAAAACACCAATGACCTTCTGGACTCAGGTCAACTTAGCTTAAGGTTTTTCCTGATAAGTGATCTGCTGTAGCAAGCACGTAACTGTTATTTGCATCTGGTAGGCTGTGTTGGGTGCATCTCTGTTTTTGAAATAAATTTTCAGGGTTGTTTGACTGCCTTACAGTATTGTAGGCCTTTAATCTTTGGAAGAAGCTTGACAGAAAAGAATAGGGGAATTAGGGAGAGAAATGATGATTAAAGCTGAAATTGCTACTTTAAAGATGCAAATGTCTTGTGGTGGAGGAAGAGTTTCTGTTTCTTCTCAGGATGAGAAGCAGTCAGTCAGCTGGTGAGTTTGCCTGTAGTGTGCCCAAACTGTCCAAGGCAATTGGGCAGACCCACAGACTTAAGCACTCTTGTGGTTATAACTGTGGGTCGTTTTGGTGAATGTTAGATGTGAATAATACCCTGTTTCTAGAAAAACTGGGTTCTACATTTTTCTGAAGTGTGTGGGTCTCCTGCAGGAATTACAGCCTCTGTGACCTTGTTCGTCCTAGTGATCCGGCAAACTGTGCTGTAACTCCTGGATAATCTGGCATTGCCACGGATAATGTCTTTTCTTTTCTTTTTTCCTTTCTCCCTTTTCCTTTCTCCCTTTTTTCCTTTCTCCCTTTTTTCCTTTCTCCCTTTTTTTTTCCTTTCTCCCTTTTTTTTTTCCTTTCTCCCTTTTTTTTCCTTTCTCCCTTTTTTTTTTCCTTTCTCCCTTTTTTTTTCCTTTCTCCCTTTTTTTTTTCCTTTCTCCCTTTTTTTTTTCCTTTCTCCCTTTTTCCATAAAGATCTAGAAATGGAAGTTTATCCTCTCCATGGTTGGTGGCAACTGCTGACAAGAAGTAGCGTGAGGAACACAGGCCTGTTTTGCTCATGAATTAATAATTTTTTGCCATAATTTTGTCTCCAGCCTCCTCCCAGTGAGAAAAACAATATTTCAACAGGGCTTTGGGATCTTTTAATTGAAATGTTAGAGCTGGATGAGTATTTAAAAATCCATTTTGTTATGGTTCTGTCTTTGAAGATAAATACATGGGAAAGCTTCCAACAGTAGGTTAATAGAGGTCACATGAATCAATATGTACAAAGATGGTTAGATAAGATAAGCTGTTTTGTATACACAGAAACTGTGTCAGGAAAATAGAGTACAATTGTATCACCTCCCTCCTTTCATGCACTGTGATCATGCTTTCAATGATCATCTTTTTTCTATGGGTTCAGAATCTTTAATAAGATAAATACAAGACATTGTTACACTGAATTGCTTATATTACTGAGAGAAATAAATTTTGTTTAAAGGTTAATAGGAACAAGAAATGCAAACGTCTGGTTTGATTTGAGCACTTCGATGATACAAGAAAAAACAGCTTCAGGAAATGAAATGTGATCACCAACTTCTAATAGGTTTTCCACAGTGATTCTCTTTTTCAAACCTTGCCTTCAGTGGAAACCCCCTGTATTTTCATAAATGTTTTTAGTATTTAATGTTCAGTGGTAGAGAAGGAAAAAAAATATTCCTGCTAAAGTTGATTAAATTGTAATTTTCACAGATATCAACCAGCTAACTGGTGAAAAATATAATCTTCTCCCAAGTGCAAACATAGCTCAGCAGACAGATATGCATAAGATTGAAGTGGAAAGGTCCTGAAAATTACATTAGGTTTTCTCATAAGAGCCCTGGACTAAATAGCAGTAGAGGCTGTGAGGATCTGGAGTGTTACATCTTCCAGTAAAGCAGCTCTGATTAGGTGATCTAATAGTTTGATCCTTAAGTCATCAGTTAGTCCACACTTCTCATCCGCTTCTGTCTTTGCTCAATAAATAAGAAATAAAAGAACACCACTTTCTTTTAGAAGTACTGGAAATCTTCACTAAGTTGTAATATTGTGAATGATTTTGGCCAAAGAAT